TGAGTAAAAGTGTAATACTCATAAAAGAAAGTGTGATACTTATTAAAAATTTGACATATTTCACAAATAAGGATTTATAAGATAATCTTATAAGAGATTTTTCTTATTTATATATATTATGCCCAAGATTTTGTGTGTCGTAATCAAGGACAGAGCCAAAGGGGGTAGGGGGCAACTACCCCTCACCCCACCCCCACCCCCACCCCCACCCCATATATAATCTTTGTATGTATATATAGTACATAATTAATTAGTATTAAAAAAATATTAAATATTAATAAAAAATGAGTTAGATTGGTTGGTAGAACAGATATTTGGCAATATAATAGAGGTTAAGGTTCGAATTATTGGCATTAACATAATTTTACAGTTTTTTTTGACTCCTTCTCCTGTGGCTTTTTTTTGACTCCTTCCCTTATGGCTTCAACCACAGTCACGTTTTTAATAGCTTTTTAAATATTTAATACACACACACATATATAACATTCTTTTATATTAATAATGAGATGTGTAATTTATAATATGTTTTCTATTCAAATTATTTTATCAAATTAATTATGTTTCATATTTTGCTATGAATATTTTTATAAAGTTTCGATGTGTTTTATTTTTCGTCTATATTCAACGATATTTATAAATATATTTTTTAGGTAATTTATTTATTTATTTTTTAAATTATCTATTTTGTTTTAATGTTTCGCCTTTAGTTGAAAAATTTTCTGAATTCGTCTCACTTTTTCACCCTCTATTAACCGAATTTCTGGATCCGTCCCTGGTCGTAATAATGTTTTCTTTCATGAAACTTGTGAAGCTGAGGTTTTTGCCATCAGGTTGGGTTTTGACTAAGAAAAAAAATTCTGAGCAAAATGTACAGACTTTCTTGCTTTTTAATTACTCTCTTCTCTTCTCAATTCTGACATCTCAACCGGCTATGAAGATGACGTATCATATCAATCTTGCAAGAAAGTAAAAAAATTTAAAAATAAAAAACTATTTTTTACGTATAAGTAATTTCTGTACGACGTATATGTTAAGAACTTTATGCTCTTTTTTTTTTTTTTTTTTTTTTTTGGGATAGTTGGAATAATGAACAATATAATTCTAAGGAATTGAATTTTGTAAACTTGAACGAAGAAAATTAAATTTAATTCGAGTGCATAACCTATATATGTTTGTAGTATTGTCTAAAGGGCTAGAATAAGAATTAAAATTTAGGGTTTCTCTTGATAAATTAAAGCAGTTTATATGAAGCTATTTTTTTTCGTATATAATATTTGAAATATAGTATAATATATATTAGAAAAATATTTATGTATACTTTTAAAAAAAATTAGGAATAAAGACATATATTTTATATCTAACTATTTTCTTCACATTTTGTAATTCTATGTTGAAAGGCTTTTGAGCACTGTTGTAAAAATCGCGCCTAGACGCTAGGCGGTTGGCCTCCTAGGCGTCCTAGGCGGTCCCTAAGCGCCTAGCGATTTTTTCAACATTCCTTTTGAGAAAGATGAATAGAGTGAACATACATCTGGATTATTGTACCTTGGTTGGTGAATTTGTGAGTACACCAGATTTAGGAAAATGCTAAATCTCCATTTTGGTCCCCACTTACTACTTATATATCTTCTTTTTATTTTATTTTTATTTTTCTATACATATATTATATTTTCAAGTTACGCTATATTAATCTTTTAAGTCATTAAAATTTCCGTCTAAGAGCGTCAGGAGAGACAAATTGTCACTATTTGATAAATCTATTTTTTGGATGACAAATAAAATAATAGCTAGTGTCTAAAAGTGTACATTTGATAAATCTCACTCAAATATAATAGTCTATAACCATACGTGAAAGGTAAATCACACTTTGCACTATCCAAAGGTGTACATTCGAACTAGAACACTCATCCTTTGATGGCAACAATGGTTGTGGGTAGTAGTACTAATAACAACAACGACGACGACAATAATAATAATAATAATTATTTTCTTCAAAAAAACGCATTAGATTAGCCAGGGTTTTTCTTCTCTAGTATTTTACACGGTCGCCGCCTTCGTGAAGCAAGCGGATCGGAGGCGGCGCCCGATCGTCTTCATCTGTTGCCATCTCCACTGCAGACAGCGTCCACCTTCACCGTTTTCTCCTCCATCTACACCGTTACCGGTTGTTACTCCATTATTTCCGCATTGTTATTTCTCTTTGTTTTGTTTTACTGGTTTAATTTTGTTTGCAGTTTGTATTTTTCCTCTTGTTGTTTTGACGAGTTTCTTCATCTCGTTTACTTGGCGAGTTCTTCTTCATAAAGCGTGAAACGATAAAACTGGTCATGTCGTATGTGAATCTCATTCTGGGTGACAAACATGACAATGAAAAAGAGACTCATCTGAACTATGATATGCAATTTAGCCTGATGAAAATATTGTTAATGGATATATAGAAGAATAAAACTATATACTCAGATAGTGTGCAAGACTATTCAATCAGTGTTAGTCTTGCGTACGTTTGACTACATCATTAAATAATAATTTTTAAAACTTATACTTAAAACTAAAAATAAGTTAATAATAAACAAATAAATAAAATAATAAATTCATATCATAATATGTCATTTTACATTTTACTTCATAATAATAAATAACTAATTTACTAACATCTTTTTTAAAAAAATTACTAATACCACATGTAATAAAAAGAAGTAACATAATCAATTATCAACTATCTTTGTCAAATACTTCCATTGCCTTTTTTAACCACCTTAAACCAATTAACTTTTTAAATAATTGAGTACTTTAATTGCCCCAACATCATTGGATCCAAAATTTAGCAATGTCAAATAATAAGACAAATTAATAATTGTACTTTCTGTATTTACAAAAATAACACTCATGTCTATTTATAATAGTCAATAATGACTTTTTATTTTCTAGCATTTATTAGAATTAAAAATTATTTGGGGGTTTGAAGCAATAGGGAGTAAAATCTCGTTTTGGGCAAGAGCCACGCCTCAAAATTCAGACATGAGACATAGGAAGAAACAAAACACTTCTCGGAGTTGGTAAAGTTGTAAATGACGAAGCAGTTTTACCGGAATTTGGGGCACCACGCTTTCTTCGAGCTTCCAACTCCATTTTTTTGTTTTTTTTGTTTTCTCTGAAAATTTTCATCTCCTCCGGTAAAACTACCACCATTTTCACCCATGCAAGAACCGCAGTTTAATTACCAAGAATTTAAATTTAGAAAAAAATACTCAAATAAGGGGTGTTTGGTTGGATGGAAAATATTTTTCATGGAAAATGTTTTTTCAAAGTGAAGGAAAATGTTGGTTTATGTTGTTTGGTTGGATGGAAAACATTTTCCATTGGAAAATGAATTCCTCAAAGTGGAGGAAAATGAATTCTTTGCAAAGGGGTAAGATTTTGTTTTCCACAAGGATTTGGAAGAAAAATAATATGAGTGGACCATTTTACCCTTATGAAAATTTCTTAATTACATAGACACCTATTTATTCATTCATCTTTTTAAGGGCATATTGATCTTTATATTCATTATTCCTTATCTTTCTAAACCCAACCAAACAATGGAATCCATATTCCCAGTAATTTCATTTCCACCAACCAAACAATTGAATCAATTTTCCTGGAATTCATTTTCCATGGAATTTCAATTCCATTTCCCTTGAAATAAGTCTCTAAACTTTACTGAAAAATTAATTAATTCTTTAAACTTTTAAAAAGTATAATTATACCCTTTAACATAATATATTGAGGCAATAAAGGAAAAAAATCAGTAAATAACATATTATTACATGTCATTAGGATTCCGACATCAATCTTATCCATATCCGGCGGTCAGCAACGACCGGACCGTAGCTGGTCGCCGTCTATTAGAGATGGTGATCGTTGGTTACCTTCTTTAGCGGAAACTGACCAACTGGTCGCCTTCTCATATCAGAGAAGGCGACTAGTGGTCGCCTTCTTTGGTATACGGTGACCGGTGACTATTCGACTATCGCCATCTGTCGAAGATGGATAAAATTGATGCCGGAACCCTAATGACTTATAATGGTAGGTTATTTACCGATTTTTTGACTTCATTATCTCAATATAACATGTTAAAGGGTGTAATTATACTTTTTAAAAGTTTAAGAGACTAATTAACTTTTCATATAAAGCTTATGTGTTTATTTGATATTTAATATCAACCAAATTAGTCAAGCTATTACTTTAATAACCACAAGGTTACAAGTTTTATTTTCGTTATGAACAACCTAAGTTATGAGCAGCCTTACTGCTTTATCCCATGCATATCCTCGCCATTCAATCTCGATTTGAGTCAGCCAACTATCGACAATAGATTTACCTCGTTAAATAGTGATTACAAGTTTTCCTTGTCACTTAATATTGATTTGAGATTGTGAATCAATCAACTATTAATAACCTATAGGCTAGGATGATATGATCGTTTACTAGTTACAATCATAATGCACGATTTATCCTGTCAAATTTCCTTCACCAATCAATATAGATTTGAACTGATGAATCGATCAATTATGTCAACCTAGACTTCAAATTTACTTCTTTGTAAATAATGTGAGATTGTGACCTATAAGCTTACCCCTGCACACTTTCAAATAATATCCACCATACAAACAAGAAAAAGGGTTTGATCGCTAGGTAATCTAGGTCTGTCAATATAATTATATTATTTATATACGCATATATGATTTTTTTGTTAACTTTTACTCCGCATTTGTTAATTGTGTGAAGCTGAGGTTTTTTACCATCAGGTTATGGTTTTGACTGAGAGAAGGGTTCTGAGAAAAATGACAGCCTTTCTTGCTTTTTACCTCTCTTATTTTCTGACATCTCAACCGGCCATGAAGGTGATGTATCATATCAATTTTGCAAGAAAGTAAAAAATCGATTTTTTAAAGTATCTGTACGTATGTATATGTATATAGGGATATATGTTACTCTCTATGCGTGTGTATATATATATATATATATACTGTAAAAGCTAAGATAGTGTGTAATCATCATCAATGCAAATGTCACTGAAACCCCACCATCTATAGTGACTCAGTGAGTCCTTCAACCCTCAGTTCTTTTGCCTATTCTCTCAGTCGTAACCCTAATTTCAATTCTGAATCTGCAAAGAAAGAAAGCTGCGAACTTTATTGTTTCTGAGCGAGTGAAGAAGCCCAATTGGGTGGTGGGGAAGAAAGAGGGGTGTGTTTGAGAGAGGTATGAAAGTGGCATGGAGGTTGAAAACCCAAGAATCGGAAATGGGGGAGAAGAAGATGGGGAGATCAAGAGGAGTAATGGCGGCGGCGGCGGCGGGGGGCTTGGGCGGCTCTGTGGGTGGCCGTCGTCGCGGATTGTTCGGGTTTCTCGAGCTTCGGGGGGGAAAGACAGGCACAGTAAGGTGTGGACTTCCAAGGGGTTGAGGGACCGCCGCGTGCGCCTCTCCGTCAACACGGCGGTGCAGTTCTACGATTTGCAGGACCGGCTCGGGTACGACCAGCCCAGCAAGGCGGTGGAGTGGCTGTTGAAGGCGGCGGCGCCGTTCATCGAGGAGCTTCCTTCTTTAAAGGCCTTGTTCCCCGATACCGATACGCTTCAGCTTAGCGACGAGAGAAAGCTTAACGGCGGCGGAGTAGAGGCGGCGCCGCCGCCGCAGCAGCATAGTAGCCCGTCGGACACCAGCAAAGGCTCGGCGCCGTCGGCTGGGCTCTCGCTTTCCCGGTCCGAGTCGCGAATCCTGGCTCGAGAACGCGCTCGCGGGCGAGCCGCCGAGAAGGAGAAGGGCAAAGACGATATTGCCCCCGCCGGCGCGAACCTTATTTCCCAAAACTCAAGCTTCACGGAGCTGTTAACTAACGGCAAAGACGAATCAAATTTCTTCTCCCTTGATTACGTCACCACCGGAGGATTAGCAACCGCCCAACCGTCCTCCCCGGATTTTCCGCCCCAAGTTCATCTCGGAAACCCTCTACATCTCCCTCCTCCTCCTCCGCCGCCGGTGTTCACTATTCCCGGCGACCACCACCCGGAGCTGCAGAATTTCTCCTTCGTCACCGACCACCGCCACCACCACCACGGCAATCACAACGAATACAATCTAAACTTCAGCATTTCGTCTCCTTCGTCTCATTCGGGCCTTGCTGCTTTTAGGGGGACCCTTCAGTCCAATTCTCCTTCCTCGCCTTCTCTCTTGCCTCACCTACAGAGGTTTCCGGCGGCCGTAGACTTAACGCCGGCAAGTTTCTTCACCGCCGCTGCACCCACTGCCCCAGTCGACAACCACCACCACTTCCTCGGATTCGACGCCCGTTTGCAGCTCTTCTATGGCGACCACCACGCAGATCATAACGGCAAAGGAAAAACCTGAGCTCATAAAAGCTCCGCAGATCTCCTCTCTACCTCATCTTCAAACAAGGTAAAATCTTCAATCTCTTTCTCTTCATTCATGCATTCTTCAACCTTCTTAAGTGTTAAGAGTCTATATAATACCGGTTAGACTAGTTAATTGATTGGATTCAGTTATAACCTAGTTGAGTGACATTGGCCGAATCTTAGATTATAACATTAATGTTGTCAAGAAAAGCTTTAACATTCATACAACCTTACTTACTAACTTGCAACTAAACTATGATTTAGTCCAGATTTAGGATAGTGTTGGGCAATGTGAAGGCATGAACATCAATGGAAGTGTCTTTAATTTATTGGTTATACAAAAAGCAAGACCATTTGGCTGTCTATTTTATTACTAAAATCTGGTAGTACTAAAATGTTGGCTTTATGGATACCTGGGAAAGGTGGTGGGTAAGCTGTATGTCTGTCCTTTTGCTTATTTTCTTGTTTGGTTCCCTTCTTCCTAGCATGTGTGTGGGCTTGCCAGGTATTGGTTTCTGGATCAAATCTGTTTTTAGTTTTTACCAATGGTGAAACAGTGGGGGGAGTTGTTAGGTAATCTCAGAGCCTTTCTTGATCCCAATTCTTTTGTCTCCTTGGCTAATACCCATAGAAAATGTCAGCCATTGTAAGCAACTAACATCTGACACTTTTACTATGATTTGGGAATGAGCAATATTCTTAAGTACGGAGAGAGGCAATTAGGCTTAAAAAGCAGTATTAATTTCTAGTTAGTTCCAGAGATTACCTGCTTTTGTACCTGGAGATTGACGAATTGAATTTATGCAGACTAAACTGTGATTGGTGGTACATGTTTGGTAGATAGGGCTATAGAGTATGGTTTCATATTTTATTCATACTTCTTGAGGTTTGGTAGATTATCAACTTCATTTGCTTCCAAATTTAGGATAAACTATGGTACGTGAACTTCCTAGTACCATATATTAGAATAGAAAATTAATGCATGAAAGCATAGGTTGTTGATTAAAATATGATATGAACTTGTAAGTACTAAAGTACTTCTCTTGTGAATCTTCTTGCTAAAATGGCTGATTCGATAATCTAATATTTATGTTTTTCATACATGATTAAACTTGTAGCGTTATGTTCTTTAGGCCTTCTCTTTCAGTTTTAGATTAGATTAGAGATCGAATTTCTAAATCACAAGATATGTGCATGGAGAATGTGATGAGCACTATCAAGGATTCAATCCAGGACCACTAAACTAAGAAAATTGATTCTTTTCTTGAAAAAATCTATACTTTTCTCTATCAAGAATATAAAGTAGGAAATGAATGCCACGAAGCACATCATTGAGATACCGAATTCTTCTTGAACCATTAGTTCAAGAATTTGAAGTATCATGATACGCTAAGTGATACGATTATGATTGCTGCTTCACCGGCGCCCACCCCACCCAATGCCCGGTTTAGTTTTTGTCCAGATACCAGGTTTCCATGAGGGGAAAATATAGAGGACCTTTGTCAAATAGTGTATAAAAATTCTAGATAGATTGAGAAGTTCACACACTTCATACACTAAAACCTAAGAACCACTTTTGTCCCTCTTGTACTGCCAAATTTGCTATAGTTCCTGCACTTTACCTCACTGTTCATAGTAGATTTGTATGGTTTTTAGATGCATTTACATTCTGTGTGCGGATACTTTATCTGAATCTCTGAATTGTTAATTTAAGGTAGTTGCTCTTGGATAGCCACTTATGTCTGAAGCTGCTATTGAAGAAGGCTCGTTTTAAGTCGTTAGGCTAGTTTTCTAAGAATGAACCTACATTAGTGATGAAGTTTTTTGCATACGGAAAGGGCTATAACGGAATCATGAAAACCTAATCCTCATGATGAACCGTAGTTAGCTACCTCTTTATGGCTGCAATGTGATGATCTGTCTCAACAAAAAGTTTAAACTATTACCGAGACTGCACGTTTATATTTTATACTCCGAGTATATTATATATTTATATGCTGAACATATGTAGTTTACGAGTGGAGGTGTATGTGTATTCACAACGTTCTTCACGTTCCATGCAGGTGATTGAAGGTGAATGAATGTACTCAAAAGTCTCAAGTGAAGCAAGCTTCCCTGCCTGCAACTTCTTATTATGCTTCTAAAATCATTATTATGATTTCTGGATTTGTTCATTTCAAGCAATTCAGTTCGCATTCATGTATTCATGCCTGTCAAGTTGTGTTGTATTTTCTTGATATGAAATAATGTGTTTTTGCTTCAAATTATATATTTTTTTTCTTCCCCTTTTAATCCCCACATTCATTCTGCTAATCTGCACCTGCATGTGTACACATTGTTAAAGGCAATCCCTTTAATTTGTGAACTAGTGGACCAATCGAAACTAATACCACATTTACTTGTCGGATAATTTTTTTAAATATTAAATTGGAGAAAAATTTAAGAACATGTATATGTTTTTTTTTTTTTTTTTGAGTGTGACGAGAAATTCGTAGTTATTATTTGAATGTGTGTTAAGTTAATATTGTCTTGCGGAGTTGTGGTCTTAGTAGGTAAATGATTACAATGATGTAAATCATTTTAAATTGTTCATTATTGATCGGTTCAAATTAAAAAAGAAGGATTACAAAGAGGTAAATCAATTTAAATTGTTCATTGTTGATTGACTTAAACTAAAGATGTCAAGTTAATAATAGTATCAGTTTGATTAGGGTTAAGTTAATAATATTATCAATTTGATTAGGGTTGTCTTAATATGTGTACTTAGGCTCTGTTTGGCAACGCTAAGCTAGGAGCTTATAGCTTATTTTAAGCTACTAATAAGCTATAAGCTCTGTTTGGTAATGTTCCCAAAACAAGCTCCTAGCTTAAAATAAGAGCTTATTTTGGAACGCTACTTTAGGTAGCGTTTCAAAATAAGCTCCTAGCTTCCTAACTTTTTTTCCATCTTTACCCTTATTATTTTAAAGTAATGACATGTTTTAACCTTATGAATTAAAACCCTTTCTCTTCCCCTATCCTAACTTTCACGTCAATCCCTTCCTTAGTCTTGTTTCCTGCTAAACAATTATGTTGAAACTTTAGCTTATTATTATTATTATTATTATTATTATTATTATTATTATTATTATTATTGTTGTTGTTGTTGTTGTTGTTGTTGTTGTTGCTGTTGTTGTTGTTGTTGTTGTTGTTGTTATTATTATTATTATTATTATTATTATTATTATTATTATTATTATTATTATTATTAATGTTATTTTAAAATTAGCAATATGGCTTCAATCTCAAATTGAACAAGAGCCGTCAACGAAAATTTAAGTCACACCTCTAATATCTCAAATTCAAAGTAGTAATACCTCCATCAAAGAAAATTTAAGTCACACCTCTATGGAGATGAAGGAGATTCGCAACAATATTGCTACTTCATTATGGGATGCTAGATCATGATCATGCTAATAGTTTTATTTTAAAAAGTGTTTACTTTTTTTGGAAGACGAAATGTTAAATTTTAATATGTAAACAAATTAATTTAAATTTTATAAAGATGTCCTTTTTAGTCTTTTTACATTTATCAGTTTATCAAAAAGCTAATTTTACCAAACACTTTCAATCATAACAGCTAGCTTAACAGCTCTTGAATTTTCAGCTCCGAGCTTATAGCTTTTCAACTTTCAGTTCCTTTTCAGCTATCAGCTCCTAGCTTATAGCTTTTCAGCTAGGTTTGCCAAACAGAGCCTTAATGTGAAATATGACATATGTTTAGAGTTAAACAAGGAAATTTGTAATTTTTGGTTCAAACTTATCCTTGATTGCCTCAGTTATTTGGGTGACTATTTTTAACCACTAAGTTATGTGTAAAGCGGTTAAAAATGACACTTAATCTAATGATAAATTCCACTAAATTCTTGAGCATAATTTAAGGGTTAAAAATAACTACGCTGGGATTGCAATTTGTCTCTTCCTCATGGGGAAAATTTTCGAAAAATAGGGATGGAGATATCCGTCCTACTCCATCCCTGAATAATTATTATAATTAAAAAAAAATTAATAAATAAATAAATACATATATACATACATATATATATATATATATATATATATATATATATATATATTATTTTTTAAAAATTAATGCTTTAATTTTTAAAATTAAAAATTAACTAATTTAAAATTTTGACTAAGAATTGACCGGGAACGAAAATTCAGGAACAGAGATAGAGACTATTTTTAATTTCCCGTCGAAAATGGGGACGGGGTCAGGGTTTCGGGCCAGTTGCCTTTGCATATAATTTATTAAAGATTAGTATCTACCATAGGTATAATTTGTAATTTTTCCACTACGAAACTCTATGCACCTCACAATTTATGAAGGCAAACACTGACTGACTTCATCAAGAACCACACACGCTTTGATGGTGTTTGGTTTCACAGCAAATAGTTTCTTATCATCATCATCTTCATCTCCTCAGTGAATCTTCTCTTCTCAGGTTGCTTCTCCTTTCATTTACTGTGTTTATGCAGCTTTGGTTTCTGCTTACTATCTCCTAAACTTTCATTTGCAGCAATATTGTAAAGATTGAAACTTTTATCCATTCTTAGTCTTTCTTGAAATTCATTCCTTCTCCTTCTTCTTCTTTCTCACATCCATTATGTGTTTCCACGAAGTTTTTGTTTCCTGGTTTAGTTCAAACGGAAAACCTGCACATTTATCTTTATTTTGATAAATATAAGGTTGTTTTTAAATGCGGGAATAATTCTCTCTAAAATGTTGGATTTGGGATAAAGTGGCATTTGCTATACTGTTTTTGACTACTTTATCATGTTGGTATTTCCCTGTCTAAATTTATTCTTCATCTGATAAGTTCATCACTTTGGATTAAGAGCTGCAGAATTCAAGGGGAAAATATGGTTGTTGTTGCAGTAAATGCTGGTCCTTTTAACTGCATGCCCTCATTATCACCTGCTTCTTCACTGCAATTTCAATTTCAGTGCAATGGAGCCTTTGGTTTGAGCAATTGTCTTCAAATTTGTGGAAGCAAACCGAAGGGTTCGGGCATAGCCGTTAGTAATGTGAACTGCACTGCCTCATCTGCTGCCCCAGCCATTGTTGCAAATGAGGAGGAGGAGCTACTCCCATTAGAGTTAGCAGAAGTTAAGGAATTGTGCAGAAACTGGGTATGGAGTGGTCACAATGTAAATTACTTGGTCTGCCAAGCGCGAAATGGCAGCCCTTCTCGCCCTGCCATAGTTCTAGTCCATGGCTTTGGTGCTTCTGTTGCCCATTGGCGAAGGAACATTGCTGTCTTGGCGAAGGATTATACAGTTTACGCGATTGATCTTCTTGGTTTTGGCGAATCAGACAAGCCAACGGGGTATGCATATTCCATGGAGAATTGGGCTCGGTTGATTCTGGATTTCTTGAGTGAAGTGGTCCAAATGCCAAGTGTGCTAGTGGGGAATTCTGTTGGGAGTCTCGCCTGTGTGATTGCTGCTGCAGATTCCCAGAACTTGTTGATTCGAGGGCTCGTTCTGTTAAACTGTGCAGGAGGGATGAACAACAAGGCCATAGTTGATGATTGGAGGATCAAACTCCTCCTGCCTTTGCTATGGTTGATTGACTTCTTACTCCAACAAAAGGCGATAGCTTCAGCTCTCTTTGATCGCGTGAGACAGAGCGAAAATATCAAGAACGTCTTGATGTCAGTGTATGGGAATAAAGAATCTGTCGATGAAGAACTGGTGGAGATCATCAGGGGACCAGCCAACGACGAGGGAGCACTTGAGGCTTTCGTTTCCATTGTCACGGGTCCTCCCGGGCCAAACCCTGTGACACTGGTGCCACAAATCATGTTGCCTGTCCTGGTCCTTTGGGGTGACCGGGATCCTTTTACCCCTATCGATGGACCTGTTGGCAAGTACTTCTCGTCCTTGCCTTCTCAGTTGCCAAACGTGAAGCTCTTTCTTTTGGAAGGCGTCGGGCATTGCCCTCACGATGATAGGCCCGATCTTGTCCATGACAAGCTTCTTCCATGGCTGGCTAGTCTTCCACCTTTGTAAGCTCGATCTCATACCAACTATATAGTGAATTTTACTAGTTTTGTAAATAACTTGGAAACTAAAATGTTAGTGGTGTCAATTCTTCGGTCTAGAATGTATATTCTTGATATCTTTCATAACCAGACTTTATGAGGTTTGGTGATAAGGTTGTGTTCTTGTGATATGGATGCCCCCACTCCCTTGATAAAGTTTTGTATTCACATGAAATGTGAGTGAGTCCAATAATGGAGGATGATATAATAATGCATTTCCATGTGTACAAGATTTTATGTGACTGATATGGTGGAGAGATAGAACTGGAAAAGTGGAAACAGCTATATCATGACCATATTATAGTCTTTAATGGAGGCAAAGAAGGTGTTATCTTGTTTGTGTGAGTAATAAGCTTATGACCTATAGGTTAGAAGTTGGTTCTCTTTAAGTAGGTATGTTTCGAGGTTGAATTTTGTGAATGAAGTAATCGGTACAGATAAAAACTTTCACCGAATAAAATACGACAATAGATTGACTTTGAAATAAAAGCTTCACAAGCCAAAACTCCATTTTTTTTAGTACTATTGATTCTGTTACAATGCAGTATCGGTTCATAATTACTTACCTACTGAAGCACAAAGAGTCAATATCGCCTCCACTAAGCTCAAACTCACAACCTCCCGTATGAAAGAGCAATTTAGTGTGTCACTAGACCACAAGGTCCTCTGAAGCCAAAACACCAAAACCGCTACATCCTTAAAAGATGCTAAAAACCATTCAATAAGGACAGCAAAAAGAAACATGTTTTCTAGACATGTTAGTGACCCTTTTCCAACCTAAAAGTCACCTTCTAATATTTTAATGCAACTACTCAAAAACAAGTGCTCTTTTTACCATATTGTCACCAATAAGGCGGGACATTGACATGCGGTCTCAATCTAATCTGAAGATGCGTCTCAATAGTCTCTTTTTGATAGGAACCAAACTCTATTCTACCCGGAAATGCGTCTCAATAGTCTCTTATTGATAGGAACCAAACTCTATATCCAAGAATGCGTCTCAATAGTCTCTTCTTGGTAAGAACCAAAACCTTGTATCCAAGAATGCATGTCAACAATCTCCCTTTGATAAAAATCGAACTTATCCAACCCAAAGATGTGTCTCAATAGTCTCTTCTTGATAGGAACCAAACCCTATATCCAAGAATGCATCTCAATAATCTCTTCTTGTTAAAAACCAAACCCTATATCTAAGAATGCGTGTCAACAGTCTCCCTTTGATAAAAAAAAAAAAAAAAAAAAAAAAAAAAAAAAAAAGGGACTTTACACTTTGCGGCTACTAGTAAAGTAGCAATTGCCAATTGATATACCAATTTCAAGTGTTAGCCATAGTGGATCTGATCATCATCCAAAGGAATGGAGGCCACAACCCAAGAAGGAAGGCAGCATTATAGCCCAGTGGTCCCACAAGTACCAATATGGCAAGCAGTCAGCATCAGTGCAGATGTATATATGCATAGTAACTTAACTATCACAATTCTATCAAGCACCTTATGCTCAGATGGCACCTCTGTAGCTCCCCTTTGAAGGACAGGATCGAACACCAGTGGTAGGTATTGACTCTTTGGGCTACATAGGTTAGAGAAAGTATAGAACATATACTACCTTATAATAGAGAAAAACTATCACAATACTACAAGCTTGTTCACCATTAACATGCTATCACCATGTGAGGACCACAATGGTCAAAAACCTAAAATCACATCTCAAATAGAAATGAAGATTACAGTAGAGCGACACCCCTGCAAACTGAAAAGCCAGCTTATCAACTTAACTAGGGACCATTTGCTGCACATTCACAATATATCACACAACAAATAAACCAATAAGTGCAATAGAAGAGGCCTAAGTTTATCCAATCCCGCACAAGATTCATAATATTGGCATGGAATCGTGCCCCAAAAACCAAGACAGACCATAAGCACAAGTTGCAGCACAGTATGTTAAAGACACGAGGAGGTTGAAGAACCAGGCAAATTTGTTCAGAAAAGTAACACATTAATAATTCAGATACGAGCGAAATACACAATTCATTGCTCGATTAACCTTGAAAGTACATCACATAAGCATAGCATAACCTACAATATTCACAGAGGAAACTAAGTAGACCACGACGATGTCAAAGGCACAAAGCTCTTACAACATAAATCATTAAGCATTCTCAGCATCCATAAAGCATATGCCTGTTGTCCGTTTGTTTAAGTGCACAACAACACATTTACAGCTATTGATCAGTTGACAATTGGTATTTCATCTCCCGAAGCATGCATTGCTCCATTACGAATTTACGATTCATATGTAAAGAGGCTCAATTAACTCAATTGCGGCTCAAGACAAAATTGTACTGTTTCTCATCCTTCCATGACACGTGAATCCATCTTTCATCAAAAGCAGCAACCTTCCTTTAAAAAAAAAATGAAAATTTAGATCAACTGGACTATATAGCAAAGTAGCCGCATTCCTATTAATGGCTCCCTGACAATATACCAGAACAGAACGAAAAATCTGCTGACTGAAGACTCACATTATATTGCAACTTAGAGAAACCAAATAGCAGGTTGAAGATTAATGCAATAAAATATATTTGATCTTTCAACCACTCAATTACTTACAATACAATAATGATGGGATTATTAGTTAATGGATAAATTATCAACTATTTGAACAACTTTCTATAATTTCATACAAGTCCGTCGGTAAACTGCCAATGAATTCAGCAGCTTCTTGAAAACTAACAGAACTTTAAAGCATACATCAGAATTATTCAACGAAGGTAAAGAGAATATGTTTTCACACCCACACCTACCCCCGCAAACCATAACACAATGACAAAAAGTAAGAAAGAACGTGAAATTTCAGTACACAAGCATCTATAAGACTATGATCTTGTCTTATATGATTATAAAGACCACAATCTTATCTTATGAAAACAATAATCCACAACCTTTAATTTCTCTATCAGTAAGTATATAAAAAGCAATCTTAAAAATTAGAGCAAAAACACGTTGTAGATTTCATCGCAATTACTGCAAAGTGGTGGCATTGTGAAAGATAGTATCAACTATCAAACCCACACACCTCACAATCAAAGGCAAAAGCAGAAACTACATACACTGATTGATCTAGGAATTATTCATTGGTTCAGAGACTGAATTTCATAAATTCATGGATAATGTATGAATGAATACATCAAAAACACAAACATATTCATTACAATCCTTACACAGTAATGATCTCAATATAATTACAAGAGGTATTTACCAAATCAAAACAGCCATACCTCAGCTTAGAGATCCATCTAACGAATTCTTGATTCGCTTTCAGAACGAGTTCATTTCAAGACAGTAGGTTCTCCTCTTCACCAGCATCCTTGCAGCTGCCCCATAGGGTTCATCGAAAGCCGAAGCTACCCAATTCCCATCTGACCCAACCACATCTTTCTTGTGCTGCTCGCTGGGCCTAATAGCCACCAAGGTCGCACCTTTAAGCACTGTTCCATCTGGTAACTCCAAATGTGGAGCGTACCAGAGGCGCATATTCAGAGCCGGCACCAAAGTTCGCTTGGAGGCCGAGGATGCGGAGAGTGGCTTCACTCTCAGCTCCTCAAGCTGCTCCCTGTTCATACACAGAACTCCCTGCCCATCCGTGTCGGTCAAAACCAAACTATCCAGAGTTTTATGCTCTGCAATTATGGGTTGAAGTAAATAATGTCTAGCAGAAGCGGCGATTAGGGAGCTTATTGTCCACACTACGCGTAATTTTAAGCCGCCGCTAGTGTAAAAGGATTCGGGTATGCTCCCATTATCGTTCTCGGCGGCATTTGCCTCATTGTTAGTAGTTTGATCGTCGGGGAGTGGGGTATTGTTGTTATTATTATTACCGGTGGTTGAGGGGTGAGTCACCGACGAGGCGCCGAGGATGACGCAATTGTCCAGCGTGGACCCGAAATCGGCCCTCCATTTCAGCAAAACGCCGTCGTCGATTCCGAGCTCGCCGCTCGGCAGCTCGATGCGGAGGAGCTTGATTTCGTTAAAATTCTTCAAGACCTGAGTGGGGGAGTGGTGGGTCACGGAGCTCTGGTCAAACTCGCCGTCTTCGAGCGCCGACGACGCGGCGACGCGCCTCGGGGAGGCGGAGATGAATTGGGAGAGAGACTGGAAAGGCTTGAGCAGGCCCGTGAACACGAGGCGGAGGATGGAGGAGATGGGGTGCCGAGACTTGTCAGACGCGGCCGCCGCCGCCGCGGCCGACGACGACGGTGAAGAACCGTCTTCGTCGGAGATAACGCAGTCAACCCGAACGACGACGTTGTCAACCTGGGGCACGAGCGAATGGAAACGCTTGGAAACGACGCAGCATCGGCCGAGAGCTTTGACATCGCCGATCATATTGAAGACGAGCAGGATGAGAGAATCCGGCAGCCGGTCGAAGTGGTCCACCGGCTCCGGGTACACTCTGCAACTCAGATCTGGCCTTACAGAACCCATATCCCAACAATTTCAAGCTATATATGTATGTATCTCCACAAAGACACCCAGAAAACGATATATAACTATGAATAAACGCAAGAACGGAGAATTGAGAGAATCCGGTAGGATTGGGATTTGAAGAAATGGGCTTTATGGATCTAATAGAGAAGAAATAGACATGGCAGGGGCAGATTTTAGAGAGAGAGAGGTGTGAAGTCTGGAGATGAAAACACAGTTCTTGCAGTGATAAAGTATGCGTGTTTGCGAGGTTCGGAAGGGAATTGAAGGGTGCGTTTGGTATATTTTCATTTTCTGAGGTATCCATTTTCTTCAATAAAATACTTTAATTTTTCATCTTTTTTTAGCAAAAAATATTGAAAGAAAAAGACACATTACTTTACCCTTATCATTAAAAAAAAAAAAAAAAAAAAAAAAAAAAAAAAAAAAACTCTGTATAATTATGAATTATTATATCCGGAAAAATTATCTCATTTAGGTTCTATTTAGAAAAACAATGAATTTGGTGACTGCTTGACCATGCTAATTGAATTCTTATCTCTTTAGTTAAAAATTATTATCCATCACTTTAATCACAATTCATCAAAATGATTTTTCAGAGAAAGCGATTGAAGCGTTAAACTGCCCCAATCATTATAATTAATCTATCGAATATATTATTAAAGGGAACAAAATTGTTCATAAATATTTTTGGTTACTCAATGATTTCACTTTTAATCTTTTTAATTTGATAATAATCTCATATTATTAGAAGGAACAGTGTCTTATCAGTCACGTGTATCGAAATTTCTGACCACCTATTGAGAAATGCGGTCGGGTTAAAGTTAGGAGCCTAGGTCCAAATTCTCAAATAACCTTGCTTGGGATAACTGTCCCGACCTAAACAGGTTGGGATTGGTCACAAGACAACTAAGTACTACTATGACCGTGATTTTAGCTCAGTCATAGCATTTAGTAATGGTCGGTTAAGGTCGATAATGATTCCTCTCAGTGACCTGACCGGATATCGAGCAAGTACATGGTACGTAGAGAGAGGTATACTCAAAGAATATTCCCTATCAGATATTGTACAAAATGTCAACATCCAAGTAGCGTATTGTTCGGATAGTATCTTGGACTTGTTTCTTAACTTACAGGAAAATTTATAATTGTTATCTAAATGTGCACTCTAAGTAAAATTTGTCTAGATTATTCATAGCTGACTGACTCAACATAAGAAAACATTATGGTTACAAAGTTAATTGTCTGATCAACTTAGTTAAGGTTATCACATCACACCTTAGACATCTTATAATTATTATAAAATAATATATTTTTATAATTAATGTAATATGCGTATAATTATTAATCGCATTATCTTATTCCAACCGATTGCCAACTGCCAATATGTCCAACATTCTCTCGGTTAAGTAGTTCGCATAGATTTTTTTAGTGCGATTTACGAATTACTCCGTATTATACAAGACCAGAGTTTACCCACACATTATCATATATAATTACAAACTTCTCTCGTCATCTAAAATAAATAAATAAATAAAAATAGGGGAATTGAGGGAAAAAAAATATATAAGTGGCGTGAATTATTGTTAGGGAAGTTGGAGTTACAAGTTTGGAACTTTAACGTTTGGTGACGTATATGGTGTAATTTTGGTGGTATTATTATATTACCGCAATATGTTATGTTAGTTGCAACTTGCAAAGTGGTTCAGTTGGGATGTCGGCCGGCCAACTTCACCCCCTCTAACTTTTAACCTAACTAAAAACATTTCAAAACCTAATCTTGTGTTGCCATGCCACGAGAATAACCTTTTAACAATACACTATATATTTTCTCAAAAAAAACAAAAAAAACAATACATTATATATTTGCTGGAAAGTAAAATATATATATATATATATATATATTTCATCGATTATTTTTTATCTGTCATATTTATTATTCATTAATCAAATCATTTTTATTTGTTTATTTTGTACTACCACAAATTCTAAATATAAATTTTATATATTAATACAAAACTTAATGTAACGAAAAATTAAATTATAAATAATTTCAATCAATTTTTGTTAACATTACTAGATATATAAAATGAATTCACTTTAACTGAATTCAAGTAATTAATAGATTCCTGTTTAAAAAATGACCACATAACGCAAATGATAAATTATATTGTAATGTAGATCACTGATAAATATTTATTTTTAATGTATTTAATATTTTAAATATATTGCCTAAAAATGAACATTTGATACGTTAAAAATGAATTTTTAAAATATTAAAAATGAATATTTATGTTAATGGTTTGTTTTATAATGTGGATCATGACCTACGGTATAGTAATTGGAGCTGAAATGCCTGTTTTCAACCCAACCTACTATAAATGACTTTAGACTTTAGAACATAAATAATGTTGACTTGAATTCTAAAAATGTTTTGAAGATCAGAGATGAATACATGACAGTAAGCACACATGCACCTACTCACCCGCACAACTGGATCTTGCAATATCAATTCATAATTTATTATTTTTATTGGATGGGTGGCAATAGAACTATAGCTGGATGTGTAGACATTTCAATAATTATCTGCATTATTATTATTATTATTATTATTATTATTATTATTATTGTATTATTATTATTATTATTGAAATGAAAGAGTTGAACCCATAAAAATCAAACGACGGTCTAACAAGCATTTGAGGTTCTGTGAGCTGTTATTGTACTTATAATGTTTTTAATTAAAAATTGATACGTGAAGCTCCTCACGAATATGCTCAACCACTCGGTGTCCCTGATTTTATGTAAGGGACTTCTCAACTAGAAGATCAGCTATTCAGCTGCACGATTTTGTTCCCTAGGCATGGTACGTAAATTCTGATTGTCTAGTCTTGTGCGCAATAAGCCGCTTATAAGCCTCCACTCTGCATATTTTTGTTTTGATATAAATGAAATGAAGTTTAGACAAGAGGAAGTTTTTCAATTTAATGTTTTAAAGCTCAATTGAATATGTATAAACGTTGATTTTGGCCGGAACTTATAAATTAAATCACCGATTAAAGTAGATGGTAAGTAATGAGAATTGAATTTAAATTATTCTAAATGAAGTAAAATTAAAGTTATTATTAACTCAAGTGTATAAAATTTTACTATTTTGAATAAAGTTTTACAATTAAAGACAAATAATGCATCAAATCAAATTATGATAAAATAATGAATATCACATCCAAATAATTGCTCCCTATAGAGGTTATAGAAAAATTCTTTAACAACTTGGAACTTCAGTGCTAACAACTGAATTGTCATGTCTAGAATTACTCAATATATAGATCAGCTTAATTCCCTAACTTAGTATAAGAAAATTGCATCTTATTTTTAGTGTGGTTTATCTCTTTTGTGTAGTTGTGAATTATTATATATGAATGAAATTTATCTTATGCACACTTTCGAATAACGACTATAAATTTTCCTTATCATCTAAGTGTCTAACAGCATTCGATCGACTCTCTTTGATGATATAGTTAGTGTGATTCTTTTAGATTATATACATATAAGTTACCTATATATATTTGTTTTATATAATTTTTTTTTTCTAGCTTGTATAAAAAAGTATAGTTGATTGAATGCTTAGAAAAGGGTGCAAATTAAAACAATGGCAATGAATGATAGTGTACGGGTTGTAGGTATCAAAATGCATGTGCAATTGAGCATAGGATAGATCTAAGGGACATTGCAGCAAAGAAAATGGCACACACACGTTATGGACTGCATGTGTGATGCCTTTAATTAATTAATTAATTAATTTGCTATCTTTATTACTTATTAGTTTCCAAATATTTTGCAGTTTTCAAAGCATTCCACATCTTGCCGTGCATTTCCGTACTCACATATACAATCAACCTTGCATGCAAATTACCGCTGCACCATTCGATATATATAAGAGAGTGTTAACTTAGGTCAATAATTCAGTAGGTATTATTTAAAAAAAGAGACTAAAGTTTGAATGTGGATGGTGACAGTGTGAGAATTATGGGGGCATTTGGTCATGTCTGCTTGCTGATTCATTGAGTCATTGTAATTTACATGTTTCTAAATACTCTGTCGGACTGGAGTTGAGAATTTAACCTTTTAAGAAAAGAAGAGAGTGTTTAGGTAAATTTGGAGACCAAGTTGATGAGCTTGGAGATTTACTTTATAATGTAAAAATTAAATACTTAAACCTATACCGTCACAACTAAAAGACTAAAAATGTCAAATCTCTATTAGAATTATTACAAAATCATATCAAGATAAGTTTCATAAAATTTAAATTCAAAATTGTTAATTTATCACCTAGTTATAAATTATTTAAACACAAAACTCTTTTCATTATTTATTTATTTATTTATTTTGGTTGCAATTGATGATGGGATTATTTTCAAAAAAAATAAAATAAAATAAAATCTTGAAAGAGACATGATATATTTATAGTGGAAAGGGAGTGGCGGATACAGTGGAGGATACGCCCACAACGCCATAACCCATTATTACACCTTCAACGATGAAAACAATTTGTCCCTTTCAAACCCCCACCACCGCTTGCACGGTGGCCGGTGGGGCTCCGCCGTAAGCGCGTCGTCGCCTCTCCTTGGCTCTCTGCACACCATTTATAGCATTCCCATCCCAACATAATTGTATGATTGGAGGACACACAAATAATGTTTTGCTAGAGGGAATGAATCATCAACACAAACTCATTATATTTCTGACATATATAAATAACATTCAGCTATGGGCAATCCATGTCCTTGTCAACTCTTGCGCGTGTAGCATTCGATATTTTTACTGTTGTAAGATTACTGGTCGTAAAGACTTAACTTCGATCATCGCTTTTAATATGACTCACATAGTCACATATACAAATAAATCATTCGATTTTTACTATTGCATTAGTAACCATCCACGTACAGAGTGTTTGATTGTGCTTCAAGATTTGATTGAAAAAATATGCACTTATAGCTCAGTTGCTTTTTAGGTGGAAAATTGCAGATAATGACACATTATCAAGACTAGACAGCTGCAATGTTGGAGCTGACGTTCACCATACCCAATGCGGTGTGCTCCATGTGGGCACCACTGCACCAGCCACACCGTAATTTACCCATCTACTATTATGACAGACCGGAGTATAATGCAATGGGGGAAGAAAATTTTGCATCTTATGAGTAAGAAAAAATCAAATCAAATACCATACATATGTATAGTATGTATATGTGTGTGTGTATTTATTACACATTATTTTTTCATTCTCCATGTGTTATCACCAGCCCACCATGGTCTTAATTGGGAATGGTCCCCAAACATTTTTGCAATTGATGATGGGAACCAATTATGTGCTCACAAAAGAATTGACTTGTTATAGCTAGTTGATGGACAATAGGAATGTGTTTTGTTCTCTTTGATGATATATTACTAACCTATCATTTATATTAAGAAATGTCAAATTCGATATGATACACTTATTAAGTTTAACGAGATTATTATTGCGCACGATTTTAACTAGTTTAACTCAACATAAAGTGATAACAATTGCAGGGGTGTTGGTAGAAAGTGAATCCATTAATATTTGGCCAATTTATTTGACTTCAATGATTTGATCAAGTTAGTGTGTTTTTTTTTTTTTTTTTTTTTATCAAGTTAGTGTTTGGTAAACAACAAATTACATTAATATATTTGAGGTAAAAATATAAAATGCTAAAATTAGTGACACTTTAAGTTAGTAAATTGCATTTATTAAGTTTTTAAAAATCATTTTGTTCATTAATTTATATGAAAATTCTAAGATGTTGATCGGTACCAATGCCTTTTATTTGTACTCGATCGAGAGAGTGTTGACAAGAATCGAAAAGCGCTCGACCATGGAGGTATTGACAATAGTCAAACGTACTCATGATCTCCTAGATATGAAAATCATGTTTTATCCATTCGATTGCCTATTTTGAAGCTACTTTTAACACTTTTTTTACTCGCTTATTTGATGATGATCAAAATAATGTCATTTAAAATCAATAATCTATTCTTTGAATGTAACATGCCACCACCCCCACCCCCACACAAATTAATATACATGTATAGATACTCTATACAAAGCATGCCATTCACCCAATGTGCCAAAACTCATAAAGTAGAGAAGAATTAAAGTGCATATGCCTTTTCAACATGTAACGTCTAATCTTCTAAATTAGCATTGCAACGTCATGGAATCGTGGTCTTTAAAAAAAGTTAATACTTTATTGTAACGAAATATTCTTTATGCCATTTTTTTTTTTTTTTTAGTTTTCTTTTCTTCTTACTACACCATACATTACAATATTTTTTTCTTACAAAATTCTCAATTTAATAAGTAAATCAATATATATTGCATGCTCGACGAGACTCAAATTTCTAATCTGAAATCTTTTGATTTATGGAAACGTCTTCCTTCACTATCTGAAGGTGCACTTTGAGTAAAACTCGCTCGTAGATTGACTTTAATTGACAAATGATTACAATTAAGTAAATCAATCTAGGTAATAAGCCATTTGAAGTTAAACTTAAAACATTATGATATATATTATCAAATTTGTCGATTAGGAACGATGAAACTAGGGTGTAATTCTTAAATTTTAATAATGATTAATAAGTGAAGAAATTATTAGAAGGATATTTATGATGTCGTGAAGAGGACAAAAAGAACCTAATGCCACATTGCTTTAAGGTATTCTAAAGGCTAAAAGAGGGATGGAGAAAGAAAAGATATATGATGGGGTTGAGTCATTCAAACCTATGCAATTTGCACTAGCCTAGCAACTTGCTTTTGTGCTACGCTATGATCAATAATAAATAGTTAAAAGGAAAACAATAAAAAAGAAAAGATGTACAAAATGAGAAATTGAGACCAATACAATTCAACGATTGTTAAATTAAAATATCGAATTTAAACTTTATGAATATAAAAATTCTCCCGTAATGAAGGTTTCAATAGTTGCTCAAAACTAAAGTTAGAAAGACATCATCATTGGCATACACTAGATATATATATATAATATGAAACTTGTACTTAAAAATATTGAATTTGACTATTTTTAATACTTCTTAATCTAGTCCGTCGCACATGATATTCTTAATGCAGTTTACCTATTTTGTGTGGTTGTACACCTTTGAATAGTATTGTGAGTTTTCCTTATCGATCATCTAAAAGAAAGAAAGAAAACTTGTTATTTAGCGGGACTTAATGCATTTAAGAAAAAATAGTGTTTTCATAGTCAAATATATACGAAATAATAATTTCAATCTTTTAATTATTAATATGAAGGTTATTATTATTATTTTTTTTAATGTGGTGGCGATTTTTATTGTTTTGATTTTTTTGGCCGGTTTATAGATACTTTTATAATTTAGAACGACAAATTACAATTTTATCCCAATATTAACTAATAAATTTCAATAGATTTTAACGATTTTTATTAGTAGGGACAAATTAAAAAAATTGTGTGGTATGTGAGTTATTACACATAAGCATGATTTCTGTGAACACTTTTAAATAGTGTTTGTGAATTTCCCTTATTATCCAAAAAAACAAATTGCCATATATTTAGGAAAAATAGTGTTTTTATAGTTGAATTTATACAAAATAACAATTTTAATCTTTTAATTATTAACCCCCCCTTTTTTTTAGTATGATGAGAGTTTTCATGTTTTTTATTTTTTGACCAGTTAACCGACTTTAATGATTTAGAACATCAAATTACAATTTTGTCCCTATATTTAACTACCAGACTTTGATGAATTTTTAACAATTGCCTCGGGACAAATTAGAGGACCAATAATACTCATGTCAACAATTGAGAGACTAAAATCAATATATATTTCCTATAAAATATGAGCAAAAAATGCTATTTTTCGCTGTATTTTTGGAGTAATATAATGATATTGACATGATAATTCAGGAACTTGAATCCAAATAGCAGGTGACATGGATTCAAATCAAACAAATAACCTGAGAATGAATCTGCAGTGAGAACTGAGAGTTGTGTATCCACACAATATATATTTCAACTTGAACTGATAACTTAAATGACAGCCCAGAAACAGAAAGAATTGAGAAAGAAGAACAAAGGAGAATAAAGAATTGCAGGTCAAGACTTTAGAAGATATATATATATATATATATATATTATAATCATCATCTTCAACAGCTAAGCTAAGCTTTAACATATATAAGTTGGTTTTGTGACACTACAATAATGAAAATCCAGCTCAGGGGCCTCAGATAATGCAGAGATGAGATAGAGAGGTCCCAGTTCTTATTTTATACCAAGATTTGTAGTGTAGAGCTATAAAGGGTTAACATGATCCATCTTTCTGATAATGTTTATAAAATAAAGATGCTGTTTTTAGCCACATAATTAGTGCCCACCACAAGTTTTAGCCATTATTCTGTCTCCACTTTGTCTCTCCCTTGTATGCACAACTCCACACACAACATCAATCATTAATGTCAAAAATATTCTGGAAATCCTAAGTTCATATGCTTCTTCCCTTTAAATAATATAAGAATAAGATGAATGAGAAACAGCATTCTTGAATTAAATGCTTTCCTTGTATCCCAGATCCAGCCCTGACACTCAAGTGTGTTATTTTGGGTGAAGAAGAAAGTAATCTCGTAACCACTACCTGAGTGTAATAGTTGACAAAGAACTAGGTAAATCAACCTAGGTTACGTTGTCATAGTTGACTGGCTCCAGCTCAGACCAAGAAAATAAATAGATTGCTCTCACTAGGATTTTACCAAACCAACAGTCTGACTAACTTGACTAGGGTTGCCCCGAAAAAGTGTGTTATTACAAATCCCACTAGGAGCTATAAGGCAGCATTGTAAAGTAGTGTAACAACAGAGTAAAGTAAGGAAAAGAGCATTATTATAGCTTTAATATGTTATACAATTTAAATTTTCCTTGAGAATTAAGTAGAAAGATGAAGGGATGACATCCAGACAGAATTTCCTTATGGAATGATGGGTCTTTTGGATGAACTAAAAGGAAAGCATAATGATGCTGGGAATCATTATTCTTCAGATAAGTTCACCTAAAAATGATTTGGAGGTTAAGCCACCCATTCCTTCATTCTGCACTTTTCCTAAATTTCAGTTGACACTATCCCCTCATAATTCACTTGCAAGCTCAGCAAATCATTCTGGGATCGATATACGCAAAGTGGAACATGACAACCAACTAAACAACAACAAATGATTAAAACAAAAAAACCACATAAGACTCCCTTGGGAAATTTATTTTAATTTGCAGCATATATGACCAGAAATCTTCTTCATTGAGAACCAGATTAGATAAAAGCTACAGTACTAAGCAATCCACTAAACCTACTGAAAGGCTTAATTGTTACTTTTCACAATGCAAATGTATCTGCAAAAGGTTTGGAGGTCAGGAAAGGTCAAGGTAAACAATATAGAAGAAGAAGAGTAGCACCATATCATATCCAAACATGTTGGCTAGCTAGATAATATTCTTGCCCACAATAAGCAAAATCTCTTGCCCGGACCCCACACCTGATTCGACAGAATTTATAAAATTGATAAATTACAATGATTCAGCAGTCAATTAAGTGGACAGATCGAACTAGTGTCTGGTGCCTATAAGCCCACCACATTAGGTGTAACTCTCACACAACAACTGCCAAGCTTAATCCTGTATCCTTACTAATAATTTGCCGTCCAGAAACCAACTGAAATATCCATGCAGGCTAGTTAGATATTCTGCAAATACTACTGGAAATGAAGCACAGATACATATATGTGTGAGTTTATGAAGAAGGATAGATTACTTGTGAGCACTGCACTAAGCTAAGACACCAATTAATTATAAGCCGATGAGATGCTGAGAAGAGGAAGCTAAGCTCCGCTGCACTGAGAATGAGGCGCTACAAAACTTCCGATCCTAAGACTCCCCTGCAAATCTTGCTTAGCTTGTTGCCATGATTAATTGACTATCCCAGTAATGATTAATGAACAACAACCCAATATTATCAAGAAACTTAAATAAAAAATAAAAAATAAAATCTTGAGTCGTGTCGTAATTACAGTTAGAAACTTAAGAATTCAGTCAGTTATCTTCTCGTAATATGGGTGAGAAAAAAAGGGATGTTTTTATGTGGGAAACGGATCAGTGCGGTCAGAATGGATAGGGACGCATGCAACTCCCCAAAAATGCCCCAGTAACCAACTTATCTCTTCTTTTTTTGATATTTTTTTTCTAAGAAATCAAAACCTTCGTATGGATATATTCTTGGAATTTACATAATAAAAATACTTTATTATTGTTGTCATATTATTATTATAGAGTAAAAGAGAAAATGTAAATATTTAGAAAATATGTAATGATGGCGATATGGGACCTCAGGAACCTATTTTATTGAGAAATTCAGTCCAATTGTTCAAGTGGGTGTCCATCTTTATGGGTTAAAATTACGTAAAAGCACAAGTCTCAAATCATCAAGCCAATCAAGATCTTGTGTTCTAAAGGACAGGAAGTTCCACTTATGTATGGAAGTGCGCTGAAAGTAAGGTAGTGGGGGACACGTGTGGTCCAGAATGAAGGCTGTCAGATGCCGTCCATTTGTCAACCATTCATGAATTCCTCAACTAGGCACCCTTCCCTTCCTTTTAAAGGCACCCCTTGGCTAACCTCTCTCGGTCCATTGGGTTGAGTCTTCAACCCCTATTGGCACACCGGGGTTCAAGTCATCAACCTCTATTGGCACCCCAGGGTTCGAGTTCTATCGATAACATATTTAGTTTTATTTCATTTATTAGTTCCCTTAGCTTGTTTAGTTATTATTTTGGGCCCTATTTCATTCCTTGGGCCGTGATCTTTGTATTTGGGCCGCCATTCTGGGTATGTACCTCGAACTTTGTACGTACACTATTTTAGGCTTAGCGCCTCGAGTAATAAAATTATTCTTTGCCTACCCCTATTCTATATTTCTGTATCCAGTTTATGATGGACCCGGTCCCAATAAAACCATCATGTAATATAACTCTTCTTTAAGTAGTTACCGAGTTTTTTTTTTTTTTTTATCAAGTAATACGATATCTACTCTTTGTTTTTATTTCATATGTGACATGTTTAAAGCCAATTAGCCAAAAAAAAAAAAAAAAAAAAAAGATGGATTATAGTTTTGATTAGAGGAAATTGTATTTTTGGTCATTCACTTATGTATGTGTTAAAAACTTAGTTTTTGAGTTGTATGTGTGACAATCTTTAACTTCTTAAATTATGTGCGAAGTGGCAATTATAGTCCCTGAGAGAGTATTTCTGCCACCAATATATTACTTATTAATAAAGTGACGGATTCGGTCCTTTAACGGCTAAACTCACCACTTTGTGCATAACTTATTGATGATCACACATATAACTTAGTGACTAAATCTGTACCACAGGTATAATTATAGAACCAAAAATGTTAATTTTATTTTTTATTACTCTTTATATATATATATATATATCGAGTGAAATGCAATAGGGTGTAATGCACCACACTTTGGTGTATTTCTGAGCATTCATGCATACCTGATGGTGTAAATTCGCACGAGAAACTCTGTCCGTACTAGACTATATATATATATACAAGGTGCTTGGCTAATTCTTGTATTTAAATATACACGAGATCGATTATTGGCATGCAACACATTCATAATTGGACCTATTGCACTAATTTATGGCTCTGAACTTTTGACACAGCTACTGGATTAGTCAAAATAAGTTGATAGATGTTGGTTAATCAAAAGTCAAAACTTTTCCATTTATGATATGTTATGGGCTGCGCTTAACATTAATTTCCAGGCCGGCCAAGAGCATCTATCAATGATGAAAGCAGTGACATGCAGAATAGTATGTAAGTCAAAGCCGCCAATATTAATTAATCTAATATAATCATTTTCTTATCTTAGTCTACAATAAATGATGAATGTTGCGTGGATTGAATACGAGGTCTATAAGTACCTCGTCACCCTCTCCTTCATGTTGTCGCACCAAATTAAAAACACAAACATATATACATTCAAAACCTTAACATATATATATATATGGCAACCACTACCTGCGGCGGCGGCGTTGCGGTCATAGATTTCTGGGCTAATGGGTTTGGTATGAGGATGAGGATAGCTTTGGAGGAGAAGGGGATTGCATACCAGTACAAGGAAGAAGACCTAAACAACCCTCAGAGGAGCCATCTGGTTCTTGAAATGAACCCGGTTCGCAAATCGGTTCCCATACTGGTTCATGAGGGGAGACCGGTTTGTGACTCTGTTGCTATTCTTGAGTACATTGATGATACTTGGAAAGATGGGTTTCCTTTGCTGTTGCCGGAGGATCCTTATGAGAGAGCCACTGCAAGATTCTGGACTCATTTCATTGATAATAAGGTTAGTTTTTTAGTATCATTATTAGGGGTGGGAATAGGTCGGACTTTTACATAGGAATTTACGGTGATCTATTTAAGGCCTGACATAGGTCAGGCATAGGCCTATTTCAAAATCTATTTAGTTAAATAGGCCCAGACTTATATGTGAAGGCCTGACCTACGAACCTGTAGGCCTGGCTTGTTTATATATATATATATATAAAACAATTTACCCCAGTTATAACCCTAGATTCCCTTATCTGTTGGTGTCTGATCGACATTTAGGTAAACTTGTTTTTCGTAACTTACGATCGAGCGTCATCCTCTAATCCCGAATTCTCAACGATTGAGACTCGGCTTGGCGGGATGCGGTGACTCCGTCGAGGCCAAGCGTAGGCTTTAAATTTTTATAATAGACCCAGGCCTAATTTTCAAAAGTCTTGCTCGGTCTGACTTGTTTCTACCCCTAATCATTATATTGTATCGGCTAATGACGGACATGTTTATCATTTCACCTATTATATATATCTTGAATGTCCGTCCACCCACCACCCACCCAAAGGTATTATAATGTTTTATAGTATATATTATTCTTCACACTCAAAATACACACTTGGAGCCGACATGAGATAATTTTGTGCTATTAATTTGCAGTTTTTCCCAACACAAGCAACGTTCTTGAAGAGCAAAGGTGAAGCCAAACAAGAAGCTCAGAAGGAACTGATTAATGAGCTGAAACAATTAGAACAAGTCTTGGGAGACAAATCATACTTTGGAGGTGAGAAATTTGGGTTCTTTGATGTGGCTTTCATCCCATTTTCTAGCATGTTTTATGGATATGAAAGTCATGGTAAGTTCAAGTTGGAGGAGGAGTGCCCAAAGCTATTAGCCTGGGTTAAAAGATGCATGGAAAGATCAAGTGTCTCCAAGATTCTTCCGGATTCAGTTAAAATGTATGAATTGCATAAGATATGGTACGGGGTTGAGTAGATATTTAAAAATTATCACGTTGTTGTACTTAAATTCAATAACAACTTTTGTAATAGAGTTGCTAATACCAACTTATGTTTGGGCATTTTGTTCTTAATGCAATTTTTGATGCTTTTGTTTTCAAAAAAGATACAACATCTTAAACTAGGGATGAAAATTGTCTTTAGACTAGATATAGAAAATCCTAAACCCAATTTCCCACTCTAATGGTGGAGGGAATGGCTGGGGATAGGGATTTCAAAGGTAATTAAGGACAAGGAACATGTACTATCTCCTAGACTCAGCCCCTATATATAATATAATTAATATTGAGAATGGAAAATCTTCGATCTAAAGCCAATGAAATTTTGCAAGCCGGGGTGAGGAGATGAGGAATCGTGTTCGTGTCCCACTACATATTGTCTGCCTCACAACTATATCTTTACCCGAAATTACTCTACGTGATGACTAATTGATTTTAATGAAACTTCAAAACTTACTTGATAAAACTTTAATTTTTATTTTTATTTTGTTGAAAAAAAAAACACCAATTCATATTATAGGAAATAATAAATGTTGAATACACAAAAGAATAGAAGAAATCCAACAAGATACACCAGCATGTGAATCAATAGTCCTTGCCAGAGTATTAGCCAGTTGATTCGCTCATCTTTCAATATGACAGAAAGACATACACAATGTCAAAGTGCCTGGTTAAAGAACAACAACCTTCAATGATACAACCAGCATATGAGTAATCCAAGATTGACGAGTTTAGTAAACGAACAACATTTAAACAATCAGATTCCACTCGAATCCTCCTCCAACTTTAAAGCTTTAATTTATTTGTTAGTAAACTATACTGTCCACAGGAACTATGATGCATGAATTGAAGTTTGAGCTTTCAGTGAGCTTTAGGACCTGTGACTAAGATACAAAGTGGCACCATACTTTAGTGAGGAGTTTAGTCAAAAGAGAAAGTTTATGCATCGCTCAGGGTGTGGGAGGTGGAGATTATAGAATTTATGGTGGTGTGGTCCAGGGTGCAGAGCATGCTGAGCATGTTGTCATTGTAAGAGCAACAAATGACTAGAGCTATACTGTCTGGTCATGTTATATATGCAGATCAGACATGTTTCTTTTATTGACTGTCACCACACAAATCAATAAATTAAAGAAATTCATCGTTTTAGTATTTCAAGAAGCACCAAATATAATGTCTGTTCTTTCATCTTCTCCTGCATGCTAAGCGGACATTATATTGTCGCTGCCTCACTTTACATTTCGGGTAATTCGATTTGCCTATTCATTGTACAACCTTTTTGTGTATACATACCCCTCGGTATCTTTATCACTGTGACACTAATTCAAATTCAGCTCGAAACGTTACTTTCATTCTTCTTTAAAAAGTTTGGTCGAGAGTTCTTTAATGTGACACATGAGTCCATTAATATGTTTACCAATTGCTCCAAGTTGATAGGTTATCGAGGAAAATTTCCAGTTGTATTAGTAGTATGTTTACCAACTGTTCCAAGTTGATGGTTTATCGAGAGAAATCCGTAGCCATACATTGTCTTATATATGATCATTGCAGGCAAATGACCACAAGGAAATAAATCATCAGCCTAGATTACTTGACCAACTCAAACTATATTGTTCCAAGTTGATAGGTTATCAAAGGAAACACGTAGCCACACCTCGTTTTATGACTATAGTCGGTAAAGGATCACAAGTAGGTAAACCAGTCTAGATTGTTCATAGCTGACTGGTTCAAACCAATAAGGCCAATAAGTTGTTTTAATTGAGAGTCGAACTTGAAGTCTTGTAGCTTTCACACTACAACCTGAAGTGATTTAAGTAGGGATGGAAGTGGGGACATTGGGTACACAGGCAGATAAATTATTCTGTGTTCTCACATTTTGTGCATACTCAAAAAACATTTGAAACTCTTTTCTCTAATGGCATTGATGACTCTTCTGCTAGTAGGAGTTCTTGCAGTGGCAGCTCATGGAGATGGGAGTGCAATGGAGGAAGAAGAGCTTTTGGGGCTGTTTGAGGTGATGGGTTCTCTTCTAGAGGACCCAACATGGGCACAATTCCACCCCCTACCATGCACAGAAACTCCATGGCCAGGGGTGGAGTGTGAGATTGACCAAAACCCTTCAATCTTTCATGTCACCAAGATTCACATTGGCCCTGACATTCTCACCCCACCCTGTAAACCCTCTGCAACAATCCCCAATTCTCTGCACAAATTGCCTTACCTGAAAACCCTTTCTTTGTTCAGCTGTTTCACCACTGTCCCACTCTCTCTCCCTCCCTCACTCTTTGCTTCATCTTCTTCACTGGAACATCTTTCCCTGCTCTCAAACCCTGGCCTCACAGGGGAAATCCCTTCAACTTTATCACACATTTCAACCCTAAAGGTCCTGTCTTTGGCACAGAACAGCCTGGAAGGTGAAATCCCCAGACAGATTGGTGGGCTGCTCAACCTGGAGCAGCTTGATCTGAGTTACAACAATCTGAGTGGCTCAATCCCTGGGGAAATAGGAGGGCTCAGAATCTTGAAAATCTTGGATCTTAGCAAGAATGGGTTCACTGGGAACTTGCCAGATTCTGTGGGTGAGTTGCAGAATCTTCAGAAAATTGACCTCAGCTCTAACAATCTTCAAGGCATGCTCCCTCAAGAACTGGGGAAGTTGAAGAGGCTGACCTTGTTGGATTTCAGTCAAAACTCTCTTACTGGTCCAATCCCAGAAAGCCTATCAGGTTTGGAGCAATTACAGTATTTTATAGTTGAAGACAACCCACTAAATGCAGAAATCCCTCCATTTATAGGGTCATTACTGAAATTAACAGTGATTAGTCTCTCCAAGTGTGGGCTGAGAGGTCCAATTCCTTCATCACTTTCCAACTTGAAAAACCTCACAGCATTGTCCCTAGACAAGAACAACCTTAATGGGACAGTGCCTCAAGATTTAGGGACACTTCAAAACCTTGGTTTGCTCAATCTGAGCCAGAACCAGCTGAGTGGAGAGCTGGGGTTCCCTCAAGAATTCATCCAAAAGCTTGGGGTAAGGCTAGACCTCAGGGGGAACAATGGGTTGTGCACCAGACAGATGTTGCAAAAATTCAAGAAAAACCAGACTTCCAGGTTTTTACATAGTTATTGTTTTGGTACAAGGTTTGCAGGCAGTAACAGAAGTAGTGATTCAGAGCACCCAAATGATTCCAAGAAAATGAAGCCAAGTTGGTACCAAGGTGACATGGGATCAAGCAGCAGTAGTCATGGGTTGTTACATCAAAAGGTTGTGTTTTCCAGTTTGTTATGGACTGTGATTCTCTCATCTGTACTCTAGATTTTTGGTTTTTAGCATTTGGTCCTCAAATGGTTGGTGAATATTGTTGTGGTTTTACCATTCATGGGTCATTTTCTTCTTGTACAATATTAATTGCATATGAAATACAGTGCCTAATGATACATTATACCTCTACTCTGAACCCACCAAAATGTTAAGACAACTAACTTATACATGATTTTTTTTATAAATCGAGTTAATGATCGATTTGGTCATCAAATTAAGTATTCAACTTTAAAAACCTTACCCTATTTTGTCATATATATGTTATCATCCTACGGCTCAAATTGACGGGAGGACGAAATTGGGTAAAATTTTCAAAGTTGAGGACTTAATTTGGTAATGATGATAGTTGAGAACCAAATCGATAATTTCACTATAATCAATGAACGAAATCAATCATTAACTAAAAAAAGTCTTTACCTAGAGGATTACACCATAATCTTGAGACATTCTATAGGTTCCTATCATGAACTCTTGGAGAATAAATCGTGAAATGTGTCTCAACGAGTTATGCGTTTTGATCTATATCTATTCCTGATAAGAATCGAATTCTACACTTTACAATTATCAAGTGAACCAATATTATAACATAGTAAGTCTACTTGATACTTAATAGTGTTAAGATGATACCTTATACATGGATAGAAATTTTTTGACTAAAGGAATACACTCTAATCTTGATACCTGCATCTATTCATATCCTAAAATTTGGTGAAATAGTAAATTGTGAAATATATATGAATGAGCTACATATTTCGATGTATACTCATTCTTGATAAGATATATCCAAACTATGCAATTTACGATTACTACCTGAATCAACTATAGCATAGCATAGCCAAGTCTACTTAAAATGGTTAAGACAATACATAAAGCATGGGTAGAAGAGCCATGAATTGCCTCTCTTTTTGGTTATGACTTTTACTGTTATTTAGGGAGATGTGTATGGGCTGTGTCTGTACTCTATAGTCCCATCAGTTAGTATAGTTTTGCTGCCCCCCAGCCTTTGAGTGTGAAAAATAGAGTTTTATTATCTGTACTTTCAAATTTTACTTTCTAAATTTTATTCTATGATGTGGTAGGTATTGATACACTACTTTTTTTCTTTTTTACATATACAATATCGATACAAATATCTACATAAAATTTTGTGTATGGAATAAAAATTAGGAGTATAAAATGAGAATACATATAGTATTTTCTTAAAAAAGACCAGCCAATATTAAGAAAAGCTCAGCATTGATAAGAATGATGGGTGATTAGGCTGACAAAGATTCTCTTCTAGTCTTGGCAGGCTAGTGTAAATATTATAGGCTATCTTGGATTCTGGAAAAAGGATGGGCTAATGTGATATTACATTCGGATTCTCAGATAGTTTGTACTTTTCTTAATGGTGATCTCCTGAATTTGAATTTGTATTGAACATTTAATTTTTATTGGTTAATGAAATTATTTTTCCTTTAGAAAAAAAAAGGTAAACATATATATATTTTTTATTCTTTAATTTTAAATTATTGGTCTGACTGCCAAATTAGCAAATTTATATGCTTATTCTATGATTTTTTTTTTTAGTTCAATTGTTTTTGTTTTTTGAGTTTACACATTTACTTGCTATTTATATAGAAGTTCATGATTTTATTTGTTACGTATTCAAACATAAAATACTTGCTAAGTTGTTATTATTTCATCATTTAAATTTAATTTAGTCATACAATTGCTATCTATACATACTAGGATAATGATTGTAGCAT